CCGTGCGCACGTGGGCTGTCGAGTTTGTAGGCTGGAGGTGTCGGTAGGAGTAGTGGGTGTGCTGGCAAGTCTGCTGGTACCTTTCTCCTCTGACGGTTGGCTTTCGCTTTGCCTTGTCTGACAGTCACACAGGGAAGGAAACAGCTTTCTTCAGTTCCGTGTAGTTTTTCAGATGTTTTTCGCTATCTGGAGTCAAACCTCCATGTAAAATAAACACCTGTGGTACTCCGAGTTGCTTTAGAAATGCAATGTGAACAGTTTCTGTGAACCATGTATTTTTTTCCTTTTCATTTAGTATGAACTATCCCTGACTTTGCATCTGATTTGCTAGAGACACCTGCGAGTCTCATTCAGGGAGAGAGCAGCGTCCACCGCACGGGCAGCCCGCCCAGCAGAGCAGCGTTCTTGTGTGCTGCCGCTCCAGCTACGGGCACAGCTGCTTGTGTTACGGCTCCTTGTGCCATCCTTCTGGCGTCTGTCTTTTGAGAGATGTTCATTTCAGAAGAGCTTTTTGCAGACGGATCAAGCAACAACCTTTCTCCGCTTGTTGCACCCTATCAGCACGTTCTTCCAGGCCAGGCGTGTCCATCTCACAGGCCCTGGTGTGCTGCAGAACACGGGACAGGACAACGTGCCCCTCGCCAGCTTGTTTCTGAGCTTATTGCTGCCTGGCCTGCCCCTGCGGTGCCCGAGCCCAGGTTAACGTGCCCTGACAGGGGTGAGCAGCGCTGGCTCTGACAGCACCTGGCGACTGGGGAGGGAACATCCGAGCACCCGCACCTGGTGGGTCACAACAGTTCTATGATGATGCTTCTGGTCTGTGTACCGATGCCCAAAATACCAGCCTGCTATCTCCCTCCGTTTGCTGGTACTGCTTTGGGAAGAGGTGAACTGCCGATGGTGAAGGCTCCTCAGAAATGTGGGGGATTTTTTTTTTTCCCCCACCAGATGGAGAGACTGACTGCAGCAGTTTCCATCTCTGGGATGTGCAGTCTTCAATATTGGTTGGTTTACAATGTGTAAATTGTAAATTTACATTGGATTTGCTTTTTCTAGGACCTTGCTTTTTTTTTTTTTTTTTCTGTTAAGTCCGATACTGAGCTTCTTTTCTCTTGCTTTAGGGTAGAAAGCAAAAGTGAATGTACTATCATTAATGTTGTTTTGACTTTTAATAATAGGATGGTGACGTGGTTGCCCCTCATCTAACTCCAATGAAGGAAAGCTGGAATAACATGAGAGGTGATGAACGCAGGATAGCTTCAGAACCCAGCTGCAAGCAAAGGCTTCCTTTTGATAAGTAACACTTTTCCTTTTGCACTACTCAGTCTGCCTCTTCAGAAGATGAGTAAACCTGAACAGCAACTCTTTTAAAAGCCAGTTGAACGGACTGTAAAATAATTTACAGAACAATGCAGAAATGCATTTTACAATACAGTATGTTTTAATGTAGGTACTTAAACGAAGTGCATTTTCCAAAAAGACTTTTAAAATATTAACAGCCTAATAGAGCAGAGCAAACTCAATCCTCGTTTATTTTTGAATGTATTGGCACTGTGTAGCAAGAGTAACTTTAAAAATTGCAATTCATCGTTATGACAAGAAGCGCTGAAGCCACGTTACTGTTCCTTCTAGCCCTGATCCCTTCGTAAGATGCTTGTGATGTTGCACGAGCCGAGCTAGCAGGAAAACTTCCAGCTCAGGTTTTTTTTGTTGATGTTTTGGGTTTTTTTTCGGCAGTACCTGAGGAAGAGAGGAGTGGGTATGCTTCTGAAAATAGAGTGAGGTAACAGAACTTTGAAATAACCGTAAATGGGATCTTCAAGAACAGCAAAATGAATTTCATATTAAAAAATAAGAAGGAGGGGAGAGTGGAATCTTGTTAATAACCAAAGATTACTTCTCTGGTATTCAAAAAGCTGATGAAGATGCCGGCCTCTTGCTATAACCGTGACCACAATTTTTATCGAAGTACCAGTGCATTGCAGTGAAATGCAGCCTTTTATTATTTTATAGTGTATTTTTGATACTGTTGTTCTATTTTTACCGTTACACTGAACTGCACAAACTGCTCGAAACGTCCATTGTTGGGGTGCTGCAGGGCA